GATGTATAAAACAACCAACTTTTCAATCATGTGAACATCATTTTGTGGTGCATATTATGCTCATTTTTGCCCCTTTTCTTAATGAGTACCATATTTCTGCAAATTGCTGTGACACATTGGGGGTAAATTGCAGTTTGATGTGGTCTTCAATAGATCTCGGATATCTATTGGAAGTTGTATTACCTCGAATATAACCTCATGCAGTAAGACTACTGTGACGTTCCCTCCTATGCGAATGTTGTCTAATGAGTGTAATTCACGTAGCAGAGGTTGTCACGCGAGATATGATCAGTGACCAGAAGGGGAAGGGGATTATGGCTGGAGAAGAAGTAGTTGTGAAGTGGTTATTAAATTAAGTTTAATTACTTAATTATCACTGAAGTTTCTACGTTGGAAACGCCAAGAATGATAGGGGAGAGATGAGAAGGAGTGAGTGAGAAGTAGGAACAATGGAGCGGTGACAAGGATGTCGAGTGCCTTCGTGTCGGCCTTTTGCTTCTTACCATCAGCTCCAGTTCTTTGGCAGACATCTTACTGTTGCTGGTAGTGATCTCGTTAGTCTTCTTCGCTAAGTGGCTGTATCACGGGTGGCGATAGGGCTCTTTCTTTTCAACCACATGGAGATAAAATATTTGTAGAAAATTTATAATTTTTAATAACTTATCAATTTCTACCATGATGGCAAAATGCTTCATAATAAATTATATTATTTAAGTAGGCTCATCACTGCACTTCCACACATGCATGAAATGAGATGTGGATAGGAGGGAGATTTACTTTTAAAAGTTTAAACGTTTATTGTGGCATATTTTATTGCAGTTTTTACTGCGTAAATGCATACATATTTAACCCCTTATTGCTCAGAATTATGTTTTCTTCTTTTGTATTGTTTTAGACATGGAACTTGATTATATTTATTTAATGGGAGGCTAGGCACTAATGATAACAAAAAAAGTGCGCATTTGTATGTATTATTTATTCATGAAAATGAAACATAATACATTTGAGTTAAAATACTAACATCAATTCAAATTGTCAAGAAAATACACTCTAGCGTGTACGATTCTTAATTAAACAAATTTCACACAAGCCAACATTACATTTTATGCACAGTGTGCAAGCTTTAATGCTGCAGTTGGAACCTACACATCTTCTCTTCTCATGGAGAATTTTTTGTACATAACTATCCTGACGGTCAAAACGTATGTCATCTCTGATTATTAGTTTAAGTATTTATCCTGCTCCTTTTGGTGGTCCAGAATGCTTTTTGAGATACACCTGTTCTAGTTCCGTATGAAAATTCAGATGGATTGGCTAAGGAATGGACTAGATACTCGAAAGTGTTGTTTTTGGCCGTATGTTTTTAATGTTAGTAATTGGATTTACTCCATAGATACATGAAGCTACATGTACTGCAAAGTTATCATTCCAGAGAAATATTCAGTTATTATTTTTTCTTGCTGAATGAATACTACCCCTTTCTTCCTTCAACACTTCTAATTTGCTTATTTATGGACAGTTCTTTGGTATTCAGTTTACTCTTACTGTACCTGTCTGTACCATAGTATTTTACCAGTTTCTTATGGGGATTAACAAGTTGAAACTTGTAAATACGTTTTCAAAATAGAAATGAAATGGCAGCCTTATAATTAGCTGTTGTAGACTTTCCTTAATATATTTCAAAGTATCACTAAGTATCCACTAGGAGTATTTAATGACCAAACATTGAATCCAAAATGCAAAGGCTTTCCCCAAATGCACTGTTTTAGACCATGCCTGCCAAAATACTCTCATGATAGGACAAATTATTTTCTGGTGAGAAAGATTTTTGAAAATCTGACTTTCAAATGATCTGATTTTTTTTCTTCCAAAGTTTGTAGTTATTGTTAGGCTTAATATCATGATTATTTACGTAGTGCCCTTTACTGAAATTGACAGGAATTTCTCCATTTTCATGAGATAAAATTCTAAAATCCGGTGAAACAATGAAAACTGCTTCAACATCTGCACCATCAAATAATACATCAAAGGTTTCTTGGACTGTAAATCATGGATCAAGACCCTTAGAAAAGCACAATTATTACAAAACCAACAAAACTAATAATTTGTATAAATATTTGTTTTTAAAGAAAACATTTGCTAACGATTAGAAAAAAGATTTGCTCATATTAAAATAAACACCACCTCATAGGATATCAAACTAATCCCGATTAGCAGGTGAAAGAATATTTGATAAACTGTAAAAATGTTTTCTTCTTTTATAATAACAATAATATTTGACAATGTATAAATATTTCAAGCATTTGGTCGAAAAAGAAATATAAATTGAAATGCTCTCGTTAGTGCTTGGCTTACCATAAATGGTGTAGTGAATTTTCTAACAATATAAGTGTCTTTCCAACATTGATAGGTAATTCATTGAATGAAAATGCAGATTATTAAGTCTTTTATAACATTATTACAAAAAATATTTTTCACTGATTCAATTATTTTGAAGTTATACTTGTTTGTCATCCATGTCTCAAATAGAGCAAGCAAAAAAAAATCTTCTACAAAAAACAATAATTTTTTTTTGGCTCTGACGATAAATTAACGCAACTGCTCTAACAAATCTGAACACATGAACGTTAAAGAAAAGGGAAATGCACAGAACAAGTTTAAACTCTTCCATTTCAGCAACTAAACATATGCAAATTCAAAGCTGATTTGCACACCATTTTTGAATTGCTAGTCACTAATGGGTTAATGTATTTGATAGCATATTTATTATTAAATTTACATTAATATTTATTCTCTCTGAATTTCAAGCTGTGTGTTAATTTTAAACAAGATACCCATAAGCACCTAAGATTCAATCTTTTCTCCATGTTTTATAAATGTTTTATGTTACAGGGTGTTGTAGAATGCCTCAAGATTGTAACAGAGGCAAAGTCGAAGAGAATTGCAAAGTTTGCTTTTGATTATGCAACAAAGAACAACCGTAAGAGGGTCACTGCTGTTCATAAGGCAAACATTATGAAGTTGGGTGATGGCCTGTTCTTGAAAAGCTGCACAGAGGTTAGAGACTGTAATGTTTATAAGTTTTACAATTTTTACACTGACACAAAAACCTCTTCGTTTATGCAGTATTTCCCTTCTCTGTGTGTAAATAAGCTGCTCTGAAATGAGACCACGATATAATTGCAAGGATGCAATTCAAAAATTAACAACTATCATGTCGTGTATTGAAAATAAAGATTGATAATTATGTTCTCCCCTCGCTCCCAACATAATGATCAAATTGCTGCACAACTACTTTCATAAAACTACAATAATTATTTAAAAAGCAGCAGGAAGAGTATACGTCATGGCTAAAGACCAAAATATGAGGACTCTTAAGAATGCCTAGTTAAATCGCACTGTCTAGCGAGGCAGGGTCGGCACCGGTAGGTTTGAGCCTATTCACGGGCTGTTGTGCCAAGTACATACGTACATTCAATGACTAAGAGCTGCTCATAGTCCAACCTGGCAAGAACTCTGAGTACAATTGGGAAGCCTTTTGCTATTATTGTTTATCCTGGGAAGCTCCTGGCCTTCGGTCACAACGCACTCCTGTTGAGCATTTCACAACGCTGCTTGCTCATAGCACTTTCAATGTACTTCTGAAGACTTTCAAACCCTCTTGGCTACTCTTTTCTGAATCATGTGTGCACCAAGTAACCATGTAATAAAATTAGTAGTGAGAAAATATCATTGTAGTAAAAGCTATAGAAATTCATCAATAAAGATTTTTTTTTTTTTAATACATCCTAACATCTTGAATTGTAGAATTGGTGAAAGAATCCAGACACTCATTCAGACAAGGAAGTTGCACCCAGGAAAATAAGCAGCAAACTCTGTGAAATACACGAGCACCAAGTTCGCCATGTCTGACCGGTTGCCAAAGCCAATTGTAGATATCACTCAATAGACCACTTCTAGGCAGCCAGTCAGTAAAATGCAGATGTTTTTATCACAAAACAGAGTTGTTTAAATTGTGAGATGCCTTCTTGTGGATTGGTTTGGTTTCTGGTCTTTCATCCCCAGACATTACATTTCTGAAATTTGTTTGTTACAGATGGCCAAGCTTTACCCAAAGATTCAATTTGAAACTATGATTGTGGACAATTGCACAATGCAAATTGTGTCAAATCCTCGTCAATTTGATGTCATGGTGACACCAAATTTGTATGGAAATATTATTGACAATTTGGCTTCTGGTCTTGTGGGTGGAGCAGGTGTTGTGGCTGGTGCTAGTTACAGCGCTGAATGTGTTGTTTTCGAGCCAGTGAGTAGTGCATTTCATTCTAGAGCACATTCTGTTTTATACTGAAACTATAAATACTAGAATATTTTCTATTCACCTTCCATTATAGAGGAGTACTCTAAGAAGAGAACACTTTGACAGGAAACAAATGAACATCATGCAGGACAATGACATTGTAAGAGATAGTGATGAAGCCATTTACAAATGAGCTAATTGTAAAAGAACGCACTGACAAAATTTAACTTGCTGTTATATTACCAGCAGTGGCCAAGCAATAGCTGTCAAAGCGGTCCCTTAGAGTAATCTCTTTATACCTTAACAATCAAATATTCAACTCTTAATAATTTGAATTATAAATGAACATTAATCATATAAATTGCCATATGAGTATTATGATGATGCACAGTGAGTAACATGTCATAGATTAACAGTGTATTTTATGCGAAACGGCTAAAGCGCTCCAGTACTGTTTCACATAAAATAGTTATTCAACTATACATGTCAATGCAATGCTTGACAGGGCCCCTAAATTAGCATTTATGTGAATCTGTAATGTAGATACTCCCATGAATGAAGTGCAAGACAATTCCATGAATGAAGTGCAAGACAATTGTTTCACTTCCAAATAAGAGCTGGTGAATTAAATCTAGATAAGAATTTCACATAAGAATCACAAAATGTAAGATCCAGTATCTGGAAAAAATTGTAAATTATATGAAGTTGATATAATGGGAGAAGAGTAAGAAAGAAATCGGACAAAAATCAGGGATTTCAGCCAATAAATATTTGTTATTCATATTTAAAATTCTTCTTTCAAAATTCCCGTGTGACTTCTTATATTATCTCTTTCATATTTTTTATGTTTCTTTTTACTGCTCTTTTTTTTTTTTTTTTAAATAATTCGAACAAAAAAAATAGTAAAAAGAATATAAAAATACCATAAGAAAAAAAAGATTTATTTAATTTTAGTGTGTTGTGTAATGTTTCAGGGAGCACGACACACTTTCTCAGAAGCTGTGGGTAAAAATGTGGCCAACCCCACTGCAATGTTACTCTGTGGTGCGAAGATGCTAAGCCATGTAAATTTACAATATTACAGTGACATGATTAGAAATGCTATCAGCAGGGTGTTGAAAGCCGGCAAGGTGAGTGGTAGAAGAAATATTAATGTAAGTTTTTCCTTAGTACTTAGATAGGCTGTCCTTCAAATATTTTGTTTTCGAGTACTAAATTGCTTATTCATTCAGGATGATTCCATTTTCTATGTATGGGCATGCGTGCAGATAGGAGGTTGTATGCCCTTATATCTATGACAGCAGGGCAAATATGTTTCATATATTGAATTATTCTGTTCTAGGTGAAGACAAAGGACTTAGGTGGTCAGGCAACCACAAATGAGTTTACATATGCTATTATAAACAATTTGCAATAAATTATAAATGTAAGATGAAACACATGTCATAGACAATTGGTAACCTTTCTCAGCTTCATTCAATATTTTTTTCTTAGAAGAGGCAGTTGAAAAATAGTAACAATATGTTTAATACTGCCATATAAAACTTGCGTGTGATACTAAAATAATTACTTCAAAGTTGGCTACAACATTTTTAATAACAGAATAAAAAATCATCCCTGTAGAAAATACAAAACATTTGTGAAACTGAATAATTGATGGAAGTAGACATTTCTTTGGTAATTAAATTATAAACCAAAGATACAAAAGTGTATGCATTATAATGTGCAGAAAAGAACGAATTTCATTAATTCTTGTTTAAAGGCACTGATTTGAGCTCAGAAATTGAGCAAAATGGAAGTGTTTAAATTAAAAATCACTGTTGTATAGTAATTTATTGAAAATTGTATCAAGATGTGTTAAATGTAAATATACGAAATGTTCTGTTCTCAATTGTTTGTTATAGTGTTTTCTTTTATGTTCTTCAGCCAGTTTCCCTGGACCTTGTCTTCATTTTAACATGGCATGAAGCCTCTAGCAAAGCTGTTTCTTAATACGGAGTAGTCTTGGCAAAACATTCATATAAGTAATTTAAGTATCCATATAAGCCACCATTTCCGACTGGAAATGGAAGAGTCATCAGCTGAGAGCTATTAAAAAATAATATTTTCAATGTAGAGAAAACTGGTATGTTCAATTTTCAGCCCAACAAAGCATTGGCTTGCATTGGGGATCCATGCCATAGACAAAACAATCACTGCTGTTGGCATGTAATGCTAACGGAACTAAAGAACTGCCTCCTTTAGTTATCTTTTAATTTCAGAACCCCAAGTTTTGAAAAACATTAAAACTATTCCAACAAAATACAAATCAAACCAATGAGCCTGGATGACTGGAAGCATTTTTGAAACAAAAAGCAAATGTCAATTTTTAGTGGGTGAGAAAGTGATTGTGTGCGGTTTATAATTTATTTTTTGAAGGGACATTTCTTTGCTATTGAAGTTTTAATGTATTATTTTTAGAATTACAATGTAATTTCAATACAAAATCAGTGCAAAAAAAATCCTTGATTTTACAAATTTTTTATCAATCTCTGCCCTTGATGAGATTTGGGGATGTTTGACATTACATAGGTGTTCTGATTGGTGATGTACTTGATCCATTGCTGATAGTCATTGGGAGAATTAATAGAAATTGCTTACAGCTCAGAAAAAGGATATGTGATGCCATGCCACCGTTACACCTTCCCCGAATACTAGCATGAAAACGTGAACACGGATTATTCTTATAAGTAGAGCCTGGAAGTTTAGGGATTTATTTTACCTAAAATGGGCAGGCAAAAAGGCATTTATTTTTACTAATATATTCATTTAAAAAACTTATATATTTCTATCTAATGAAAGGGTGCAAAAAGGCATGTAACAATGAAGACTCGCATGCAAAAGAAATTATACAACATTAAAATGATTCAAACTAAAATTGTTCATCAGCATTTCACATGTAAGATAACAATCTATTCTATGTAACCTTGATTCTGCATCACCATGCACCAAATGATATAGCTACAAATTTCTATTCCTCATGAAAAATGTTATTGTGAACTCTTGAATCTTGAAATGCCTTCAGTGAAAACAGAATTATATTTTTCATTCTTCACACTTACTGCCAAAACTGAGAAGGGTATATCATACAGACAGCTGTTCGCAATAGGATTTGTGGTCATACTCGCAAGGAGAATAGGATTGCTCATGGGCAAACAATGCCTGATGACATCAATGAAAAAATCAAAGATCATGATTGCCATCATCTTGCTTTTTCATTTAGATTTTGATCACAGCGTCTGCTTCCACACAAAGGCAAAACACAACTGTGCCTTCGAGTTCTCCAGGCTTGCAGATATAGTATATACAACTTGTGCGCGATGAATGTCAGGAGAAAAAATAAAATAATGAAGAAAAAGGCAAGATAAAAATCTACTCAAAGAACCCCAGAAGTACATTTAAGTTATTCCTGTTGTTAAAAAACAAAAATAGTAACAATAGGAAAAAGGCATTTTGGTAAACTTCCAGCCACTACTTATTACAAGCGAAACATGTGTGCAGGTATCAAATTTTATTAGAAATGATGACAATAACATTTGCAAACTTTATCAGCATGTTTCAAGTTTTACAAGTATTAAAATCGTACAAATGGTCTTAACATTTTAACAATTTCACCTTTAAAAATATACTCAACTTACACATTTAAAAAATAAAACACAAAGCAAATTAGCTGTAAATGCTGAAAATTTCACATTTATTTCAAAAACAGAAATATAACCAAACGCAAAATTATTATTTTACAATACACTAAATGCAACCAAGCTTATGACTAGAGAACAAGAAGAAATAATCAAATAATAACATAACAAAACTTTTAACTTGTAAAAATCCCAAAGCTATGTGAAATAAGCATGGGAGACCTAGTCTTATATTCACATCAGTAACGTTGTTACTTTTTAAATATATTAGTACAGTCGTCTTTCTCCTTCAAAAGCAAAGCTGCTGATCTAATCATTTCGTTGAAGTAATCTTAAAGCAAAAAATAACAAAATTACATCATGACAGACACTAAAACTACAACAGAATAGTGCAATTCTGAATTAACACTACTGAAAATAATTTGGCATATGCTGGTAAAAAAAATTGTGAACAAATGCCTTTGTTCATTGACATTAAATGCTTTACCTCTCCATGAACATTTTTCTACATTCATGATGGACAATGAATTATGGAATTAAAAAAGTCTTCTAGATTTTAGGAATATCCACTTTCAAAAAAATAATATTAGTAAGGTACATTTGATATAATTGTGACAAGTTAAGTAATTTAAAAGTCTCTTTCGAGATAACTTTTTAGTTGTTATTCAACATTGTCACACATTAAATAATTCAGCAGTACAAAATAATAACAAATGGTTTGTAAAGTAATATGTAGACCACGGATAATAACAAAATACAAATATATGCAACATGCAAGGTACATCATTTCTGTTCAATTTCTGCATTAAGAGCAAACACTCCTTTAAACTTTCAAAATGTATAATTTCCTTTACAATGTGGCAGGAAATTGCTTCAGGAAACTAAATGTTACCAACATTTTGGACGATGTGCAATATTACTGAAGAGTTCGAAGTAACTTTTGTTATTACCAAAACTATAAAGGAACATCTTAAAACATTACTTGCAAAATATAATTTTTCAAGTCAACAGTATTCTCGATTTAAAATATACACAATTGAAAAAAATAATATGCACAAGCCATCATTAATGATTAAATACTTCTCAACAAAAAAGTAACAACTTTCAACACAAGCACACTATGAAGTCAACACATGTTTAGACAATCAAACCTTTGGCCGAAACATAGTCTCAAGTTTATACAAATTTACGGTCACATCTTTCAAGCGCTTTAAATCACCATTAAGACACAAGTTTTCTTTGGAATTGTCCTCTGCATCCCCTTTGCACAAACTTGCTTTGTTGGCCACTTCATTTTGACTATCGACACCTTCATAGTTCTTAGACTGAGAGATAATTTGTTTCTTTGGTAATGATCTCTTCTGCAGAATTTCTGTCGATTGAATGTGGAATTTTGTTTTTGAAACACTAACACTGCTCTCTCTTTTAGTCGGTAAGTACTCTGACAAAATATAACTTGAAAGGGGTGAATTGTTTATATTTTTCAAGATTACTTGAGCAGTTTTCAATTTATACTTATCCTTAATAGAATTTTTCTTTTTAGTTATTGTCTTAGTTTTACTCTGAGATCTCTTAATTAAAATCGGACCAGAAAGAGCAGCATTTTCTTTTCTCTTCACAATTGTCTGGGGAATTTTCCCATCCAACTCAGTCTTTTTGAAAGAACCTTTTACTTTAAAACTTTTTTTAGAACAATTCAAATCACAAGATTTTTTTGATAAAATATCATTAAAAAGAGATTCTTTGTTGATTCTCTTTATAAGAACTTGAGGTATTTTGAAATTCCCACTCCCCTTTCCAAGAGAACATTTAGTTTTTGCGGTCATTTTTTCTGTGCCAAAGGTGTTCTTTGACACAACACGGTTGGACAAAGTTACATCTTTAATATTCAAGCTTTTTCTGGCATTTTGAGAGTTAGTACTTTGATGCATAGTCATAGATTTTTTGATGGCATCATTCATTTCTTTTTTATCATCTTTCAAGGACTCCAAGGATGCTGTATGAATTGAATGAACTGGACTATTCAAAACATTATTTTCAATTGTTTTTAAAGAGTTGCCTTTAAAAGAACTGACTGATGGTGAATGTGTATCAATTTTCAAACCCTTAGAATCATATCCATATTTCAAAAGAAGTAAATCATCAATTTTCATAATATTAACTCTTGCCACCTTCATTTCTGATTGCTTTTGCTTTTTTGTAGGAGTGAATGCAAGTGTAGAGTCTCTTTTTTTGGACTCTCTTTTAATTTCCATACCAACATGTAAAGTATTATCTGAAACAAAAAACAATACAAAGATAAAACATGTAAAACTCCCTTTTTATCAATTTCTATTGCAGTTAATTTTATTATATTCTTTACTTGCAAATTTATTATTATTTACAAATTGCAAAATAGTTTTTATCTCAATGTTCCAAGCAAAGGAGGATGTAAATAATTTTTAAAAAATCAATCTCTCTACAATCATATGGTTCATTCTTAGAGATCAAAACTTATTTACAATGTCTTCAAATAATACTACATACCACTTCCTTTTAGATTATTTGAAATGATTTCCAGAGACGATTTACCACAGCTTGCTCTTGAATTAGCTTTCCTGCTCTTCACCGGAGGTTGAGAACACAATGTATTATCAAAGATACACACAGATATACTCCTTTCAACAATTTGATCAGTATCTTTATCAGGGGAAAACTTGGCATTTCTTTTATGTTGACCTCCCAAGGATTTTGCACTGTCAACCTGACATCCTTTTTTGTGATCCAAATTATTTCTTTTTTCATTGGCCGATGATTTTCCATCGCACGATAATGAAACACAGTTTAATTTTCTACCTTCGGAACCACCCAAGTGGGGAGAAGGAAAATGTACATTATATTTTGACAACATACGTGCATTCATTTTCACAAGGTTAACTTGTGCACATTTTAATTTTATATCATTTGTGGAATCACAGACCTTATCTCTTTCTTGCAGATCTCTTTTTTCTGTCTTTTCTTTTTCTGTAAATAATTGCTTTCTTAATTTTTTTGATGCAAGACTACCTGAATCCCTTATAGCAATTCGAGGAAATAAGCCTCGCTGAAATATAGGAGACATTTTGGTTGAAGAGTTGTCAGAGGAATAACCATTATGTTCCTTGGTCAGTAATTTTGCACAATTTGGGCTTAGTTCCATATTGAGTTCAGTAAGGACAGGCAACCTTCCAGGGTGTTCTTTGTTTACATTTTCTTGATATCTCATTTTAATGTTTATATCACTTTCACTATGAGAGAGTTCACATTTCACATCTTGTGAAGATGGAGACTTGCTCTCAATTTCACTGTGTTGACATGTGTTATCAATTCCACCCATTTCGTGATGCTCATGATTACTGTGAAATTTATCTGCAGATATTGAAACCATATTAATTTTAGCAGGCTCTTGACCTTCATTTTTCATATAGTTTTTGTTCGTTGGTTCATTATCAATTTGTTGCTCTAGGCCATCCGGAGATTGATGAATAATATCAGAGGAACCTTCAATAGGAGCAATGACAGTATCTGCAGATCCACCCTCCTTTCCATTTTTTAAATTGGGGGGAGTTTTATTCTGTTCGTTTTCCTGCTTTACAGGAGTAATTTCAATACTATCAGGCCTTTCCGAATCAACTTCATTATTCCCATTATTTTCTCCCTCGCAAGAATTCCAATTCTGAGAATGAAATGCTTTTTTACTAGTTTTGTTTTCAATACACATAATGTTAATGTCTCTCTTCCCATTTGTTTTTTCAACTTCCGGTGATACGTTACTGTTATCCTGGCTACATTTATCTGAAACCCTGTCAACAGCTTCATTACCAATAGGATCTACAGAGTGCTCATTTTTCTGCTCCACATTTTCATTCTCTGCTCTACATCCAATATTTGACTTATTTTTTACCAGATTAGAATCATTCTGAAACACATTTGTGGTAGTTATGCAGCTGATACTGTCACAACTCTCAGTGGATACTTCCTCTTCATCTTCAAGGCTTCCCAGTTCCTTTGATTCACTTTCATATTCTGATTTTGAATTTTCGTTTTGGGCTTCATTATGCAGATTATTTTCTCTCGTGCAAGAATTCCAATACTTAGAATGAAATGGCATATCTTTTTTACTAGTTTGTTTATCGATGCACATAATATCAATGTCTTTATTCCCATTTGTTTTTCCAACTTCCGGTGATACATTACTGTTATCCTGGCTACATTTATCTGAAACACTGTCAATAGTTTCATTACAAATAGGATCAACATTATGTTCATTTTTCGGCACCTCATATTCATTCTTTTCTCTACATCCAATATCTGACTTATTTTTTACCAGATTAAGATCATTCTCAAAAACATTTGTGGTAGTTATGCAGCTGATACTGTCACAACTCTCAGTGAATAGTTCCTCATTATCTTCAAGGCTTCCCGGTTCCTCCTTTGATTTACTTACATGTTCTGTTTTTGAATTTCCGTTAACTAAACTATTTTCTTTTTCAGCAAACGTTTCCCTATTCTGCCCGTCTCCGGCTGGTATAACCTGAAGACCTGATTCACAATCAGCTAAATTGTCAAACGAAGCTTCGTGTTCGCATTCTCTGGCTTTAACTTCCTCACGCACTTCGCTTAAAGGAGTAGCTTCATGGTTTTTGACGCCGTCCAAACCCTGACATTTTCGAGAAAATGCATCATTTTCTTTGACAGAACCCACTCTTACTAACTGTGGAACACTGAAACGATCTCCCATTTTTGGCTTAGAGACACACGAACCCTTTCGATTATCCTGAGGGCCTTGAGCTTCTTCGCTCGTACTTCCAGATTCACAAGAAGTCTCTAAATGCGAAGTAGATGACATTTCTGAGTTACACGTGTTGCTCACGCAACCTGCCGCGAAAAAGTTTCTGGTATCGAAGATGATCGTCAAATAATGGGGGGAAACTCAATCAATGAGCTACATCACGATAGGCACCTAAACAGCACCTAAGTTTCTCACTGTTTCTCACAGTTTCGCGGTTTAACAGCTGTGCAATTAGGGCGGGAACAAGAGTCCAAGATCGCCCAGAGCGCAAACACAGCTGCGCGGTGGTGAGAGAAAGGGGAACTAACTAACCAAAGACGTTCAGTGCAGTACAGGAGCCACAGAAAGTAGCATGCTTACTCTCGGGTAACTACTCTCAACTTTACTCGGCTGTTGGTGAAACCGGCCCTAAGTGTGAACGGGACCCCCCCCCCCCGAGATGTAGCCACAGCACTCTGTAAAAACTATGCACCTACTAGCAAACTCCTCGTAAACGTGGAAGATCGTAAGTCGATCACTGAGATAGTAACACCGTCCTGTCAAACGGAACACGACTATCTGTCTTTCTCGGGAGGCTTTACACTTATGGACTATCTCTTACAATTAGTACCCTGAAGAGAGGAAAATCTGCTGGGCCAGACGGAGTTTTTCCAGACTTTATCAAGAACCTTGGGCCGCAGGCTCAAACTACTTTCCTGAAGTTCATCAATCTAACATGGAATACGCGAGTGCCCCATCAATGGATAAAAGTCGAAGTAATTTCGCTGCTAAAAAGGGAAAGCCAGCCAAAGACCTTAATATCTACCGCCCCATCTCACTCACCATTGTGTGTTGTAAGGTTGCTAAAAGGATGGTGGAACGCAAACTACGAGAATTTTTAGAATCAAATAATGTCATTAGCGACTGCTAAGCTGGCTTCCGCAAGCATAGATCTATAATGGGCCAAGTCGTGAAATTTACACAAGTAGTTAAAGACGGCTTCCACAGGAAATAATATACTGCAGCCATACTAGTCGATTGCAAGGCTGCCTATGACAAAATATGGCGGAACAATCTCCTTCACAAGTTGAGGAAGCTGGGAGTTAACGGGAACATGCTCAACTGGATAAAAAGTTTCCTCTCGCAGCGCAACATCCGGTGCAAATTTTTTAGCGCTACTTCACCAAGGGCTCCACAAGAGGCTGTGCTGAGTTGCCTACTTTTCAATGTTATGATAGATGACCTTCGGGGCACCTTAGAGATTTTCCAGAAGTAAAATGTCTTTTCTTCGCTGACGATGTAATTATATGGGCAACTGGTCGCACAATACCTGCTCTTGTTGAAGTACTAAACCAAGTCATGGTAAACCTTGAAAAAGTGGTCGATTCTGAAGAAAATGGAAATTAGCGCTGAAAAAACGTGTGCCAACTATTCACGATGAGCACCACACCTCCACCAGTAGACATAAAATACAGAGGAATCTCTCTGCGGCAAGTGTCACTATCCAAGTACCTCGGAATTAACTTAAGAAAACAAGTTGTCCTGGAACTCCCACATTGCAGAAATAGCTGAAAAGGGTCATAAACGCATCAACCTCCTGAAAAGGTTGACTGCTACTAAGTGGGGAGGTACACAAGAAGTATTAGCTACGGCTTATAAGTCATACGTACGCCCAGTACTCGAATATGGCTGCGAAGTCATCTCATTAGCAAGCAAAACTAGTCTCACTAAGTATGATGTTCAAAACAACCTCTTCAGGGTAATTACTGGCGGAGACAAGTCTACCCCTATTGTAGCCATGCAAACAGGTAAAAAAACATTAGATAACCGCAGAGATAAGCACACGTTGAAATTCTGGGAAAGGGCTAAGAGAGTTGACCGTATCTATTGAAACGGATTCATGAACGCAGCACAGAGACTAAAAACACACCTCGCCACTAGCGCATGCGGAGGAACTGATAACCAAATACCAGCACCAACTGTCTGTGGAACATCCGGAGATCCTACAACACCATACTAAAGTTGCATCAGCCCTGGCCAATCGACGGCTTGACCTCATTAATTATACATCAAAAAAGGGAGAAGCGAGCCCATTGGAACCTAAATCATATGCCCTGATCACCTTCAACCGTCGATATCCCCTGAATGAATGGCTCCGCATTTACACAGATGATTCCTACATTCCTGAAACCAGAGCAGCCGGAACTGGATGGTACTACCACCTATTCGAGGACTCAGCAGCAGCAGTCGGAATAAACGCTAGCAATTATGATGGAGAGGTACTCGCCATCTAGGAAGCGTCTAACCAACTCTTGGTAAACAACCTGGTCCCAGGAAGAGCAGTCTTCCTTGTCGACTCCCAGGCAGCAATAACAGCGCTTAGCAGTAATGCCCCTACCGACTACGTTGAAACAATGAGATGCCGAGAAAAATTAACAGAACTCATTGTGACAGGGTGAGACGTCTTCTTGCTATGGGTGCCCAGCCATGTGGGAATCCTTGGGAATGAAAAAGCAGACGCCAAAGCTAACAAGGGGCACAGCTAGATCAACCTACCGTGCTAATCACCTTGAACCGAGTCAAATACCAGATCGATACCACAATCAGCAACTTCATAACAATGACCCTAAAGACCTTAAGCACTGGCAAGAAATGGGAGAATCTTGCCACAGTGGTGCCAATCTCAAGAAATCTTGAGAGAGCTGAAGCTGACGCCCGATTTCGTCTCAACACTGGCCACAACTACTTGCAAGCTCACATGCACCGCATCGGCCTTGCTGATAAGATACCTGTCCGCTGTGCAACCTGGGGAGAATCGACGAAGACCACCTGAGGGATTGTACAGCACTCACTCACTCGAACGAAGTCATTATCAATCGCTACTGGGAGGATCGGAGACGAATGGTTGGACAACCACGGACGGGCGTTGGCTAATGTAAAGTAAAGTTAAGTAAGTAGTTTTTCTCTACTACTGAACTCAAATGTATGGTTTGTTTTCCTTTCAAGGAATAGTAAAGAACAGGTTTAGAAAACGAGAATTTAGCAATTCAAATTATCTGCAGCAAAAGTTAGGGCTGATGAGGAAAACAATTTGTTATTCCTTTTTGGCATCTACTGTAGTTTGGCCTCTCTCTTTGTTTCGGTAAGAATAAAACCTTGTTTTTCCCTTTCAAAATTTTTCAAATCTCCACAAACAAAAATTGCATTGTGGAAACTGCATTCCCTGAGGTCACAAAAACCGTAACAAGATATTAATTTATTGTTCATATTTCATGGAAGTAACTACATGAATGTTGTAAATGTGTCATATATTGATATTTTTTCTAATATACGTATTTGTCAAGTTTTATGACTGAGAGATTTTTTATGTATTCTCTTAAAATAAAATAATGTACCATTTTTCTGATTAGATTTAATAAATCAGACACTTTATTTCATTGGGTTGTTTGTCATTTTCATGTTAAGAGTCTCCTACATTTCCTACCGAAACCTAAAATGAGTTGTAAATTACACCAAAGGGCTGTACATTAAAAAAATACTGCGCATCTAATTGGTGGAAATATTTTACGTCATAGGGTAGGCTTCCGCGGCAGGAGTCAGTATTTACTTGGCTGTCCGGGTGACGTCTCGTCCATGGTGAAGGTGCCGACGTTTCGGTCGCCATTCTGGAGACCTTCCTCAGGGCGTAATGCTGCAATTTATGTCATTCTGACCCTGGCAGATAGTAGCTGTTGACGATTTTGTCCAATCGAGATCTTAAACGTCACCACAGTTACGTCACTCTGATGACGATTGGATGAAATTGTCAACAGATGATACCTGCCAGGAGCAGAGTTGCGAAAACCACAGTATAGCCCTGTTGATTTCCGAGCACTGGGAACACTGCAACTGTTTACAACCGTCTGCAACTGTTGCAAGCCAGTATAAACATACATCAGCATTATTAGCTGATATTGTGTATACAATAGTGGCAACTATAGTACAGTACAACTTCAATACAGAAGAGTCTACACAACAAATAATATTCACTCGCGTGAACCTTCCTTATTTAATAATAGTAGCAACTTGTAGTAGCGACTTTCACTGGTAAGCAACTACTGGCAAGTGGCAAGTGGCTACTCTCTGGTGGCAACAACCAATCAACAACCGGCACAGCCCGGTGCAACTGACTAGGTGGGGGTGGTCATTCATGAGTTGACGCGGGTGTGGCGTTGTTTGGGGCTCGTTACCGAAGTGTGGTATTGACTGAGTGTTTTTATTTTTGTTCACTTAGTTTACGCATTTGAAGTTGCAAGACATCACATTGGAACATAAATGTGTATTGAAAGAAAAACCACTTGATAATTATTCTCGTCAATATTTCAGCGAAATAAAATGTGGAAAACACTTGTTTTCTTATTTGCTTCCCAGTGCTATGTTCAGTGGTGTAGAGGTAATTGATGGCTTTTCATTAGGATTTTAGATTAAGTTGAACTTATTGAACAAAATAAACGAAATTATTATGTTTCATTAGATTTGTGCCATGATGTTCTTTGTAAACATAATTATTTATTGAATATTTTGTTTATTCTGTATAAACTGTAGCATCATATAAATGTTAAGAATACATTTGAGTGAGTTAAGATTTGATATGCAATTAAAAAAAAAATATCAATTGAAAAGAAAGAAATTATTCTCATGTCAGATCGTTGACAACATGGAAAAAGGTTGGGCGCCAATGACTCTAGATGTTGTAGTACCCTTAAACCATAATAATAATAATAATTAATATTGGAAATGGAAGGAAATATTTGTTTCTGATTTCTGTTTCTGGAAATCCAAAATTGTCATTCTCCAAAAACACAGATCTTCCAACCTTCCTACAATGCCAGCACAAAGTGACAAAGCTCAAGTAAATTTACCCTTTGAAATGTTTTGTTTTATTGAAGATCTGATATTTTATAATAAGTTGTATCAAATTGATTCTTAGAATATTCCAAGTCATGGTTAGGACTTATTTATAGTCACTTCTATTTTTTTGAGGCCGTGTACATTTGAAAACTTTGAATTTCAGGTCAGAGAATTCCTGAGGAAAGTGATAGGCTAGTGTGGTGTACTGTGAGTGACGAAGAGCAAAGTAAATGCTTATTGTTTAAAAGATCTGTTGAGAGAGACAAAGCTCTGTTTGGATCATATGCAATGAGCTTGGATTGCAAGCAGGTATGATCATATATTTATTTATTTCAAAGTATATGGACTCATGTCCATTATTTAGCAATAAGATTACAAAGAAATGGTGGACAGTAGGTGAATGAATTTGCCGATACAATTATTCATGTATAAGTGTTCTATGTTTTGCTGGAGTCACAAAAATGTTCGATCCAATATGAAATACATCTAGAGAACAATTATTGAAGAGTTTACACATTCTATTTATCAGACAATTTTCTGTATAGGTTTGTGAATACATTTTATGAACAAATGTGGAGTTGTCTCTTGATGACTGTAATAGAACTCTCCGCTTCAATTGATATAAAAAAACGAGCAATCAATCATACCATTTAAATAAAAATAATACATCATTTACATTTCTAAGAGTTCTAAGGAAAGGTAAATAAAGTTTAGCGATATCTATAATCATGATCAATAAGTGGATCAGGCATTTCAAGCCATCAGGTGGCAACTCTAAAACTTAATGTTGAATGGTTTCTAATCTAGCTATGTGGTATTGAAAAACAGAAGATAAAAGTCCAGATGATAACATCAGTATTGGCCTAACAATCATCAAATAAAGGGTTTTCAAAGTTTCAATTGATTTGAGTCCTAAGTAGGTTCTTGTAATAAAACGAAGTATTTGATTCCCCTTATTAGCAGTATAGTTGATGTGATTGAGAAAGGACATTGTAGAATGAAAAATAACTCCAAGATCTCTGATGACTTTCACATGCTCCAAAGCCACCATGTTAAACATATGAGGAAGAAAGATAGCAAGATTGATAGTAACCTGAAATGAAAGCTATGAGATGGTTATGAATGTATGAAAGTAATTGTGTTACTTCGAAGGGAGAAATCCCTTTTCCATCTGAAGTACAGAATTGACAAAGAATATTATAGTACTGTTTTAAAGGTTTTTAGATGCAGTATGTAAGAATTTGACTGAAATTGTGTTACAAATGACATATATTTCTTAATTAATGGTTGTGGATTAAAAGCGTGTGACAAGAACTTATAGCGGTCATGAAAAGATATTTCACATATTTTTGCATGACTGATAACTGTGTTGTAGTGGTGCAAACAGAAGTCTAAGAGCGAGTTGATTGTGGGTTCATGGGTTCGACTTGACTGGTTCAAACTTTTTCAAAAACATTTTATGTATCAAAACGCATGAAAAATTATGTGTCCCTCAGACATAAGGTTGTTGTATGTAAATTGCAGAGGCCAGAGTCTTGCTGGCAAATGGGAAGTATGTGAGTGAAGTGATTTCACTTGATCCTAGAAATATTTTGTGTCAATGGACCTCAAGTTAGTAAATTAGTTTTTTGACTATTTTAAGCAATATTTACATTTTCTTCCTTACATAACACCGTACAATTCAGCCTCCCAGTCATGTTAAAAAAGTGAGCGAAACAAAATTTTGCTCTCTGGCCTCTGGTAATTACTCATTGCAAAAGAGTACTGTATTATATATATTATTGTATAGGTCTGTATGCTCTAGAAATGAAATAACGCATTATTAGAGTGCATTATTCTTTGAAATTTCTCTTTTCACCAGTACTCATCAACAGTGTAGATGACACAGCTCAATGGAACATTCATCTTTCATGCTTGTTTATTAAAGATTTTGTAATTCTTAGGGTTCTAATAAAGATGATTGCATGGCATACTTGGATAAGGAAGAGGCAGATGCTACAAGTTTAGATGCTGGTGAAGTGTTTGTTGGTGGCCGTTATCACAGTCTTATACCTTTCATGCAAGAAGTCTTTCCAGGTATGTGTGACAGCATTTCATTATCATGTTCATTACTTTTTTCTGACTGTGGAATGCAATGAGAGAACTTGTATTTGAGTGTTGTTTGTTTCTTATTTACATGTTATAATTACTGATTCTGTTAATATAAAGCATATATTGAAATTACCCTGAGATTTCAGAATGTTATACATGATGCACCAAAATTCCGTATATTTATTAATTCATCCCTGAGATCTTATTTCTGTTTTTTTGCTAACAATTATTAATTAGAATTGTCAAATATGGAATGTGTTGGATAATAATAAAGTTGCATTGACTACAATATTTTTCTTTTGTCCAAGAAGTGATTGTGATAGTCAAAACAAAGCACTCTGTTGTAAATAATACTTTTTATGACCATTGAGACTTTCGTAATTAAATGATAATCTTCTTCTAGAATCCTGAAGTTTGATACCTTGTATTATTGCTTGGATTGCACTAAAAATTGTCAATGCCCTGAAATTGCTGTTGGATGGGCTGGATAATACTTTCCTTAGGTTGCTTAATTAATTTTTTTCATATGTTTGACATGAAATATCTTGTCATAAACTACTTCATCTTTTTAAAATCTCAGAAAGTTAAATGCATTTTCATCCTGACTGTTTTCAGGGTCATTTTTACCCTCAAGGCACAATTTGTAATTGTTTAAATGGTTGCTTTAAGAAATATAGTACCTTGTTTATAGATTTAGAATTTTTAATATTTTTCATTTGTCTAGTTCACTTACTAACTATTTGCATGAATGTTTTTGTGTTTTGATATTGTAGACAATAGTAACACCTATTATGCTGTGGCTGTTATAAAGAAAAATGGCAATATGTCAAGTGTTAATTCTTTGCATGATATTCGTGGTAAGAAGGCATGTTTTGCTGGAGTAGGCACGTTGGCAGGCTGGGTTATTCCTGTTCACACGGTAAGTATTACTCAGAGATTTGAATATCAGACTTTCTTCTTCAGTGAATTTTGAAAATAATTGTCCTTTATAGAATTTCAATGTATTAGCTGCTTGAAATTTTAATCAGCTTCTGTTTTTATGTAATAATCATGAAATTAATTTTATATTGTAGATTTTCAATTCAAGACTTGTAATTTTCAAGTATTGATTTTGGTGTTTGATATATAATTTAATGTGTCTCTCAATTAAGAGGTTTTTTAAATTTCAGTTGATGAGAGATGGTGGTATGGAGATCATTGATTGCAATAATCATGTGAAATCTGCTATTAACTACTTTGGACCTAGTTGTGCTGTGAATGCTCTTGTGGATAAATATAATCCTATTGGTGAGTATTCAGTTTTTTCAGTTATGAAACTATTTTTCCCTAGATTTTGTTTGCAAAACATCTGCAAAGAGATGTTATTGATGTTCAATAAAAATCAAATGGAAAATCTTAAAAGAGACAGAGTACACAGCCTCTGTAAAATATAATAATAAACTGAAATGCACATATGTGCATTTGTTTCAAACTCAAGTTGCGAGTTTCACTTTGTGTTCACTATTGCAGCCCTATTGTTTTTTTAGCGTATTGATAGATAATTTCCTTTCCTTTGCATCACTCTATATGATAACAAAATCATGTTATCCCATAAAGTTCGCGCACACTTTTTTTTTTGGGCTCCTGGAAGGTCTTTGTTTTGCAAAGTAAAAAGTGGAAACCGTTAACTGCCAGCCTGGTGACCACATTCCTCACCTCATAGTTTGTCTATAACCATTTTCTGTTTGTCGTTGCTTCTGTGGGATAGAATTCTGGCCTTGTTTGTCTCCTTTTCTCTTCTGCTTATCTGACAAGACGTGATGCTATTGTGTGAGGAAGGAGAAGTAGAAGCCTTAAATCCTCAATCAGCAGGGTTTCTTTTGCCAGCTCGTGAACTAATCTTGATTTAGTTATTTTGGAACTCCTAATATTCTTTTTAAGATGTAGCTTTTACTTTTTCTAGTATTAGCAGGTTATTTTCTGTGAGGTTCAATGAATTATCTCTATTCCATAGGATAGTGCAAGGCTAATTTTTGCTTTGAAATTTTTCATTGCTCTGTTAAGGCTCATTTGTCTTAAAAGCTGTATATCATTTATTGCAGTGATTGCTTGAGCTGCCCTCTCTTGTACATGTTTCGTGAAGACTCATTCTGAAGATTGTAGAGTAATTTCTAAGCATTTGAATTCGTTCACTACTTCTACGTAGGAGCCATGTATTTTTATTTCTGTCCCTGCAGATGTCTTTCGTCCTTTTCTGAAAACCATCATAATTGTTTTACCTGTGTCAATTTCAAAACCATGCCCCTTACACCATTCCATGCCATGTCTGATATTGCTTCTTGTAGTGTGTCTAGATCTCTTGATGCCACCAAAATATCGTCTGCGTTTGCATAGATTTCGATATTTCTCTCCTCTCTTGTGGCCACTGCAATAATGTCCTTGGCTGCTAATATTAAATCTCTATGAAATTTGAGGTGAAGAAAACTTGGGCCTTTTTCATTTTCCAAATAACACATTCTGTTTGAAAAAAAATTTAAGTGAAGTTGAGTACTTCCCATTAATGCAATAAGAATTTATATAGTAAGTGGAGTTCAAACTTCTTGGTTATTAAAACAGATTTATTGAAACAAAGTTTCTTCTTGGTTATTAAAATTTATGGTTAAAGTAAGATACTCTGTACACCCTTATAGAAGAATGGCAGAGAGGGGGGAGGAGGCAAAAGAGGAGGAGGAGAGGAGTCTTTTTAATCCCTTCCTTGAACTACACAACATGCTCTGATAGAAATGAATCCCGGATCCATATCACGGCAAGGCTTCGTGTTCACTATGAACATCCTTGAGTCTATCCACCTCATAATTACCAATTCACTTTTAAAAGAAAACACCTTATAAGAAAGCATCCAAAATTCAAAATGCACAGTTGCCAACATTGTGAAGAAAGAATGCTACAATCTTTGTTTATGATACCACTCCATGATTGTAGCACTATTTTGTAATGGAGCTCTAAAAAGATACTAGCGTGAAATTGTTTCCTGTAACTTATGACGCCACGTCATGACCAATTACGAACCCCTTATCCTGTCCACTGTGGATTTCCACCTCGCCAGAGCGGCACGTAGTTTAAACAATTTCCTTAAGTTGTACCGTACACTAGACTTCAGCCAAATTTATTTATAACTGCAATATTTTCTCACAGCATAGACAATTGAAGTTAAAATAGAAAAGGATGTATGTGCTAAATTTGCACAAAACATATTTGCATGGTATGTTCTTTTGTCAATGGTTTTGAACAAGATGTGAAGCAGAGCACCCAATGTACCAAGCAGCATTTATAAAAAATGCTGTTATTGACATTGTAGAATGTTGAGAATTCATTTTATCATGCTCCAAAGTGAATTCTATGATAACTCGGCTGCCATTGTTTCTGTTCCAAGAGATTTCTGTGGCAGAAGATTTGTACTATTAATTTTCTTGCACCAAACCATGTGACTGCACAACTTCCTGTGCATATAGCTCACATGCTTGATGATTGAAGGATGCAGGATGATGGAAGAAAATGGTATTAAATGTGAAAAGCCATTTAGTTGTGGTTCATCTTACATTTATGCACTCAGTGATGAGTGCATAAATGTAATATATTTGTTTCTAAAATCAACTCCTTTTGTGACGTTACGTTGTCTCTCTCCTATGCCAGAATGACCTATGTTCACAAGTGTTTTACTTCAAGACAACTGCCCATTTGTTAGCAATACATGCCGATATTTCTGCTAGTGTGGACATCCAGTAATGAAGTAAGAAAAATATTGAGCATGTGCAAAGATGTCCCTTTATTTAGAGCAACAAATACGAATTAAAATGCAGATGGTTTACTTTGGTAAAAGATATCTTTAAAAAATTGTCATATGCACTTCTGGCATATTCATCACCTACTTAAGTTGTATAATTGAATAATTTAACCTGATCTCGTTTTTGGCTTCTTTAGGAAATGGAAATTTTTCAACAAATTTATCTAAATCGTTCATTTTTAGATTTATGAATGATTTAGATTGGAAACTGGTGTGCTGGTAAAAAAAAGAAAAGAGGAATGAAAAAACATTGTAAGAAAACTAAGTAAAAAGAAACGAAACAGTGGGGAAGTGTCGTTTAACAGTAAAGGAGAGACTGTCTGAGGAAATTTGTTGAATTAAAATGTTCATGAAGAAGGGATTTTTTTGAACTCAAAAAATGTTAATGAGAGCTGTATAGTAAAAAAATAATGATTCTTAATATTCATTTCTTAATTATTCTATATTTATTCTTAATATATTATAATATAAAATATATATCTTAATAGAAAAACATTCATCAGCACACCAAATTTTTAAAAAAAATGCATTTTCTTGGTTAAATGGCTTTGATTATGCCGAAATAATTTTTACAGAAATGAACTGTAATGACTTTGTTTTTTATTCTATATCATTTTGGTTATTTCAGACCTAAGAAATAATTAGTCTTGTGTTAAAAATACAAATATCTAGATCTATGGATGTATCATTGTCAAATAATTTATTTGTTTTAATTTTGTAACTAAAATGGTTGAAGTTCTGAGAACACCTTATAACCTAAGGTGAGGAAGCATTACATTGTTTTCTAGGAAGCAAAATATTAAAGCTGTATTTTGTCCTTACAATTCTATGCCCTAAAATTTTTCTCGAGAAGTGTGATTAAAATGATATTTATAATATTAGTTGAAGGAAGAACATAAAAATTACAAAAATAAACAACGGTGTTGTAAATATCATTTTTGGCTTCTTAATTCTGAACTAATTTTATAAATATATTTTCAGTTGCACCTGATACGGCAGATGGAACAGTGTCCAAAACATCAATTTTCATTGAATAAAATTGTGAAATAAATTTGTTTTAAGTTGTGGATGTCCGAAATTTAAAAAAAGGGACTGAAAAAAATTAGAAAATATAAATTACAATCTTCTTTTGTCCTATCTTCCATATACGGAAGTTAGGTGACCCATAAAGGGTTTTCTTGGGATAAATTATTCAGGGTGGTTTCCCGTTGCCTTCCCTGATATGATGATGATGATGATGTTGATGATAGGGGGTGAAAGGATGAACACAATACCACCATGCCCGAGGCGGGACTCGAACCCGCGATCTTTTCGGTACGAGATCGCTACGGCACTACTGCCTTAGTGATCTCGGCCACCGGATCGGCAAATTACAATAGTGACAACTAAATAAAAATTTGTATCTTACTAAATCTTTTTTTATGTTTTAGAAATTGAGTATTACTTGTGCTACATGATATGAGGTCATTAATGGAGGGTTAATATTTTGTTTGCCTTGCTTTAGGTGACAATTCACATCTCCTGTGCCAGATCTGTATTGGACGTATTCCTGGTGAACGCTGCACACCAAAGGATCCTTATGCTGGATTTGAAGGAGCTTTTCGTTGCCTCATGGAAAGTGGTGAAATTGCCTTTTTAAAACACACAACTGTGGAAGAAATGACAAGGAAGAATCCACGCTTCCGTGAGTTAAACTATTATTATTCTAATTCTTATAGTTATGGAATTTTGTTCAAACTCTAATATTTTCCATTCTTTAAAAATAAATTACTTTGACGAAAATAATATTAACATGATGCTGTAAGTGGGACATGTTTTTCATATTTAGGCATGTTTTGTTAATTTCTCATTATTAAAGTTTTTTAGCCATTTAAATTTCTAAATTAAAATTAAACGAATATAAATTTCTTCATAAACAATACTATCAGGATACCTCTCTCTGTGAGAGATTTTGGAGCAATTTTTGAGAAATTTTGAAAATGTTCTAGGGGGCTTCATATAAAGGATCTTTAAAATTGAAAGAATTTGTTTCAAACTCCATGGGTCTCAAACAAGTCCAGAAAGCTTAGGGATTGTTCATTTTGACAACTTCTACAAGTAGTTTCTGCGCTAGTATTGTTCAGGTATGATGAACAAACAGACAGATGGCTGTTTTGTAAAAATCACTTTTTCAGTGTCGCAGAACCGTAAAATGTGTATTTACTTTGAAATCTCGAAATTGATTTTTTGCAGCCTTACTTAAATCTCTATACTAAGTATATTGCTATGAATATGTGTAAGTCAAGTTAAAGGTATTCATCTCTGATATGGGAAATTAAAAGTATTCATCTCTACCAAATGTTTCTGTGTATATGTGAGTCAATATGAGTTATCATTACAACTAAAGCTCACATAATTTTCTCTCTCCCCATGTAATTAAAAGATACACAATGATTATTTTCCTCTAGTTTCCTCCATTTGAACAGAATATTAAGAAAAAGGTTTTCTTTATTTTGTATTTTAATTGTTATATTCAGTGCTTCAATCATATGTGAACATTTCTCTCTGAAGTGAAAATATTTTCACTTCCATTGAAAATTCAGTCCTGAGATTGTTAAATAAATAGCTTCAATACTTTTCTTTAATGTACTTGAGCAAGTAACACCTTTGTAGAGAAGTCTCTGACTTTTGTTCATAGATTTATTTAAACCTGAGCTTCCAGGTTTGATCAGGATCGATGGATCACACAAGGTATTGAGTGTGGGCAATAGCGATTATGAACGGCAACTTACTTGTGTAATCAATATCAAGATCCCAGTAATTGCCAAAAAATATTAACCCATTAAATCTCAACGTTGCGCAAACACAACATTTAATATTTACATTTTTTAGAAAAAACATTTCATGTAAACTTGTTCTGTATCACTATCACACTAAGAAGAAATGCTGTTTGAATAGCTTCTTCACTTTACATTCATAGCCAAGAGTAAATTTGGCTTTGTTGAATTTTGAAACTGGGAGATAATGTAATGGATTGTGCTAATGGCATTCAATTTTTAATTTAATTATTAAACAATATTTTTTTATGTGTATATTACTTAACAAACTTGCTTGAACCTTTTATTGTATCAGAATATTTATCATGTAGATACATCTGTTCAGAGCTTATTATTGATAATTTACAATGATGTTGCATTTATGTAATGTGGGGCTTGTAATGTTGGGTTTGAACGTGAGAGAACAAATGCAATTGGAATGTGATCATCGAGTAAGAGACATGTAACTACTGTTTCATATTTCCGTTCTTTTATTTATTTATTTGTTTGTTTGTTTGTTTGTTTATTTCTTTGTGTATTTGTTCTTTTATTTGTTTGTTTATTTATTTATCTATTTATTTATTTATTTATTTATTTATTTTCTTTTTCTTCAATATCATCATGTGTATCATGTATCATGTGTCAGATGCAGATAAGACTTTTTTGAAGCAAGCTGTAAAGCGTATTGGGTTAGGCTCAAAGAAGTCTGAAATGTTACCAAAATTGTTAACAAGTTTACAGATTCTGTTAATTACATTGTTGGGGGCATAATTAGATCTACCAAATTGAGTGCTGAACATTTTTTGATATCTGGTAAATCTCTTCAGAGTACAGAAAAAAAATAGATAATATTTCACTACAATCAATGTGGTTGTTAATGATGTTAAAAAGATAACAAGGCATTATAGCCTTTTCCCTAAAATAATGAAGGTATAAAAACCAATTTTTGCCAAAATAGTAATTGTAGTGATAATATCAAAGTGATCAATAAAATAAGTGAGACTAGCAAGTCTACAACAAATTATTTTAACTCTGAGAAGAGACCGAGAAGCCATGAAAGAAGAAAATAGGTGTCTTCGCTCTGGACCAAGTGATAACCCATGAACACACGGGAACCTGACTAATGTATGCACAGTGGACAGGAACGACAGAAATTTCACCAATGGAAGTATTGTGATACAAAACAGCGTGCAGCAGAGAAGACTGGTGGAGTTTGTGTTACCAGTGTCCAACTATTTTGATGTGTTAAGTGAAAATAATGAGACTGATGGGGAGAGGGAGACAGCATCACGAAGGAACAAAACTACTTAGTGCTTGTAATCCATAAGTAAAAAAAAGTGACTTGCAGAAGTGACTTCAGGGGGATCAACAAAACTCCAGCAATGGTAAAAGTTATTATGTCAGAAACCAACGATATTTCCTCCAATTCATTCATTTTTAGGATGTTAAGAACACACAAAAAATTGGAACTGTACAATCATAACATTACTCTAGTGTGCAAGAGAATATTATCCACAATATGCACTGCACAAATAAAATGGCTGGTTTTTATAAAAGGCTTGACATAGAGAGCATTGAAACCTTTGCAAACTTCAAAAAGCAGTTGATGCAAGTCAAGGATTGTGAATCCCTTACTTAGGCATTTATAGTATATTGAGAAAATGTGTTATGTGAAGGAAGGAATTTAACTCTCTGCACTCCTATGTTGAGTGGATTTTTAGTTGTCGGAAGTTGCAAAAGTAAGCAGTTGTCTGATGTACACAGATTATTGCAATACTAACAATATCAGTGCTCTTTCACACAAATCGTTTCACAAAAGTGTTATCAGATACCCGTTGGGGGATGAATGAAGGGGGAAGACAGAACTGGGGCTGCTGATCAACTTAGGTGATATAGAAAGACACTGGAAAAATTTGTCATAGACAAATATCCAGGAAATAAGCAAGACTGTGCAGTGTAATCAGACCAGAAGAAGAAAGGAGGCAGGAAAGAAACTATTTTTTTGTGAACCCTGTTCCAGACAGTCAGCATTGCAGCCAAGGAGAATGTTTCAAAATATATCTTACACAGAAGAAAATATATGTACAATTACAATTACAATTGTAAAACTTAAGAAAATAATGAAACTTTCAAAGAATTGAGTATTTGTTTTTAATTAAATACATTAATGATATTCCAAACCTCATTATTTTAGCCGACATGCAGAATTTAAAGAGTTCTTGGAGACTCATGGCCCATAGCATATGAGCACAAAACACTAAATTCATTTCCTCAAGTGCATCCAGAAAGACGATATAAAACCGTGAGCGAGAAACAAATCTGAATCAGACCAGTTCGTGTAGAGTATGGTACCTAGAAATAATCCACACTTTTCTATGAATTTATCAAGTTTCCAGATTTAGAATCTTTACCTGGTTTAAGTTTTTGCCTCAGTCAGTTGCTACCGGTGTGACTACTGTGGTAAATTAAGTATAACTGTTACAAGTTAAGTTTACAAGTTATTAAGTTTTAAGCTTTACTGCTGTAAATAGTTGTTATAAATTAAATTCATTGTTATGTTTTATATTAATTTTACTATGTTTCAACTGAATTACAATCATGTTCATTCAAGAATTAATGCATAACAATTTAATTAATTTTCAGCAAGTGTCACAAAAGCTGACTTTGAGTTGTTGTGCCGTGATGGTAGACATGCTTCAGTTGATGAATATCGTAATTGCAACTGGGGTTCTGTACCATCCCATGCTGTTGTTACCTCATCAGCCAAGACTGTGGATCAAAGAAGATTGTACCAAAAATTCCTTAAGGTAAGTTGAGAAATTCCTTGTCCAAGCAGTACTTTGAGTTTATTTACTGTTATGTGGTTTGAGAGATTTATAAATACCATGTTTCTGGAAGAATTGTGGATGTAGAGAAATTTTGGATTTTGTGGTGTTGAAATATTCTTAATCATAATTTGTGACGAGCATATAATAAAAAGCAAATAAGTTTTAGATAGTGACCTTGAACAAGTTGATTTCCCTACAAAAACTCAACAATTTATTTAAAATATATTGCTCAGCCTTTAAATAAAATAAATACCTTGAAAAGTAAACATCAGATTATTCATAATTATATTTTTTTCCACTTCATTGTTTTGATCATGTGGTAAAATTAAAATTTTTTGCATCACCATTTGTTTTAGCAGTTCTCACGTAACTACTAGAGGGTTATCAAACTAAACAATTGCTTTTAATGCAGCAATGAATGTGTATATGTATACATACGTACAATGTTTATAGATGTATGTATTACTTAAATATATTTATTTTCAATTTCTTCAGGCAGTAATTCTTACTCATAGCTTTATGGCAGATTTTTGGCATATGTATTTAATTGTATTAAAAATTATGATATAGATTATTCGTGTGTGAGTGGTAATTTCGCCTACAGCAAATATCTCTGTATTAACATTTTTCCTTCTCATTAATGAAAATGGTTCTCATTATTGTTTCAAAATAATGATGTTAAACGAAGAAACTTGTATAAGCAAAGAAAAAATCTTGGGATATCTTTGGGTGTGTTTGTAACGAAATGTACTTAGTAAGACACACATGAATAGCTTACAATTTTATTTCGGAAAAGAAAAATACTACTGATTGATAAAGTGAAAGACTCCAGTGAAGTGAGAGCTTGAGTGATTTTTTTCTTTCTTTCCAGAAAGCTGTGGAACTCTACAATAAACCTCCTACTTCATTGTCCAATAATCAAACAGATTTTTATGGAAACAGCAGTAATGGCAGTAATAGAGGCTTTTATAGTGATGACAACAATAATTACAATTCATTTGGAAGAAATAATCAAAATAATTATCGTCAGTATGGAGATGAAACAAACCACATTCCAAATTCGCAAGTGTCTCCTCTTCTGTATGAAACATTCAGTTTATTTGCGTCTGCTCAGTACTTTAAGGATCGATATAATCTTATGTTCCAGGTGTGTATCTATTTTAAGGAAATTTTAATGTATTTGAAGAACAACTGAACTGAAATAAAATTAGATTGTAACTCACATCTTGTGCAAAATTTTAGTTATTGAAAATTCTGGAGTAATTAATATTTTAAAAGAGGTCAAAACTTCAGTATTGGGAGTGTAAAGGCCAACATTAACATTCATGAAAAATTCATATAATTTTAAATTTTTTAAGTAATTAATTTTTTATTTCTCTTCTTGTAAAGGGGCATTTTTTAACATTTTTACCTTGAAGTAATTCAAAAGCTCTTAACATCACAGTAAACCATTTCTTCAAATTTTGTATTCCATTAGTTCATATTAAATCAACTAAAGGTGTGACCTTATATTCCATTGCCAATTATGCTTTTTGCATTGGATATCAATGTCATTAAACATTAGAACAAGCTTGTTGTACTGCCCTAAGTGTACCATTCCCCATCACTGAAATTAAGTTTTCAGCTTAGAACCAAATGATATCAGTCTGGAAACAAGCTTGGCTTCCTAATAGGCTGTTGCAATTGGAAGCCTCTTTCTTTTTTCCCCCTAAATCTCTGGAAGATGTGAAAGATTCTTCAGTGTTCACTTGGGTTTTCCTCTAGCTGCTGCTACAGTCTCAGTTGTTGGCAAGGTGTATTGCTATTGTCACAGATTCATACGGGACAATGTTTGTGATGTGCATCTCAGGAAGGATGGTCAGTTTCTGAGAAAACAAGAAAAGTCAGTGAATTTCCTTGACTTCCTCTAATTAAAAAAGGATATTTGTTCCAATTTTTAATTGTTGCAAATAAAAATTAGATCTGCTGTATTTCATGACTATCTGTTGTAGAATCCATCATGTTGTTCTTGGGTATTGAGCCAAAATTAAGGCAATGTTATGTCAGTTTGCAGACGTTTTGGAGTTAATTTCTCCATCATCAGTGCCAAATACATCAACAGCTTGGTTAGAAAAATGCATAATAAAAATTAGTTAATTGTTAATTTTGTCATTTTTGCAAGAAAAAATATTACAAGAGATATTAAGTGTTTTGAATCTCAGCATATCTTCTCATAATATTTGGAAGTAGTAAATAAGTTATTAACATTTTTCTATATTAGGTATATTTTCCAGAACAGGAACCCAAGTCCTGCTTTTACATAGTTCCTTTAAAAGGTGTGGAATTGTCTGCAAATTGTATCATGAGATAAAAGAAAAATGGAAAACTGGGAAAAGTCAGGGAAATGTTTTCTAAAAAAAGTGTTACCATTCTATCCAGGGTCTTTGCAACCTCATAGTTTAGTATGTAAATTATAATGAGAAATTGAATGTTGTAATCTGAGGAACTGTGCATTGAATTACCAACTTTAAAATGTTAGATCCTGTAGTATGTGATGGCCTTGATCTAAGCATTGTATATTGAGTGCACCTCCATCTCTCATTTTCACTTTCCTTCTCAGGCACTGACGTCTTGGTAAGTTTGGGGGAGCTGATTTGCAATAATATGAGGCTTTAATCAAAAGTACTTTATTACAGGCCTGACATCTATGTGGTTATTATGAGTACCCTGCATATACTTCGAATTACTTCTGATGAATAAAATGTTTTAAAAAGAGAAGAAATGGTAGTAAACTAGTCTACTTTCAATTAATATAAAGTCTGATTGAAAATTATGCTGGGTTGTTTTACCAATCTGGTCCCATGACAAAAGTGTTCTGCCTCAGCTAAAGCTAGTGAATGAACTAATGTGCTTCTGTGTCAAGGGCTAAATTCATGACTTCCTATTGATGATAGTTAAAGACAGAATATTCAGGCAATTCTTCCTCATAACTAGTTTTTTTCTCTAGGGTTTCTTCTGCTTTGAAGGAGGGCCCAGAAAAAAACGAGAAGCCTGGAGCAGTAGACCCACAGGTCCCCTTTTGCAAACAAAAGTTCTGCCCACTTGGTACATAAACAATTAATTTCTCATTGCAACAGAAAAAGCTTACAGTGATTAATTTAAATTAGAAGTAAATACACTTTGATCTGTTTAAAATTTCCCCCTCGAACACTAACCAATATGTTACAATGTAACAATTACACAAATAAAGATTTTCGCAGAATTGAATAACAGTGCTCTTTTCCATGATGTATGGAAGTCTGAAAATGAAATAAAATGTTACTTTCTTTTAGGATGCTGCTTCTAATTTACTTCCTCTTGAAGAATCACAACAAACCTATGCTGGCTTCTTAGGCCGAACTTTGGATCTTGTTCTTGGAGTGCGTCGATGCCCTGTAAACCGTATGACACTGTGTGTTACATCTGATCCAGAAATGGAGAAATGTGTTCGAATGAGGGTATGTAATACAATTTGAATTTTTTCCAGTGCCTGTCTTCAAGCTTCATTTTTTTAATTTTTTTTATTCAATCTTTATGCTAACTAGTAATTCAGAAAGTAGCTACTATAATCAGTCTAGAAATTGTTAAGTCTTTATTGATTCTAGAATTTAATGAAGAAAGGAATGGTGTGTATTGACACCACAGGTTTGAACACAAAAATTGTAATGAATTGAGAGCTCATATTTTTAGACAAGAAGAGTGTTATTATATTTACACATTCCAAATCACTTAAGTTTTGATGAATAACTTTGTAGAAATTCAGTTTTCTTTTAATTTTTGCCTTTTTCTTCCTTCTTTCTTTTTCTTTTTCTCATCTTCCATAAAACAGTTAGTGAATAGAAGGGGCACAAGGAGCAGATGAAGCAAAAGGACAGGAAGAAATGGGTGAAGCACAGTAAGTGAAAAGAGCGAGAGGAGAAGAAAATACAAAAGGAGAGGGAGGAGTGGTTCAGCAGACCGGTAGAATGAAAAAGTAGGCAGTATGGAAGGAATGTGGGTGGCGGAAATATGGAAGAAGCGGGAGGTGTGATGAGCAGGAGGAACAGATAAAACAAAAGGGGCTGGATGGGCAGCGCGAAATATTTTGGCAGGACAGCCATGGCTTGCCAGTTAGGGTGTGCATGTTGGATGGATGGAGGGTTGTGATTTTTTGGATGATCAATAGTTTCAATTTTTTAGGAGGTTTTTTTGGATGAACAATAGTTTTCAATTTTTGTAGGTAGATTATTATTATTATTCTAAATCTATGTATTTTGCAGACTGCTCTGAAAGCGCAACTGTTGAAACCAGAAATGGTGTGTTACAAAGGCCACAGCCAAATAAACTGTATGCAAGCAATTCGCAGCGGGTAAGTTGTACTGCTTTGTTTTTGTGACCTTTTGGTTTATCTAAAGTACAATCCTCTCATTTTAATCTGATAACCACTTAATATAATCTTATAATATCATCAGCTATTTTTTAGTTTTCAACTGACACTCTTTGTCCCTAGTGTAATCGTTCCACTACCTTTTCACCCTAGGGAATGTTGATCCTAGCCTCCTCCTTAACACCATGCACTCACACATGCACGCACGGACACATCATTCTACTGCACTACATATGCACTTGCACACCACTCATACACATTTTTGGGTAGGGAGAAGATTGGTAAGGAATAGGATTATGAAGTCATTACATGGTGGTTAGGATGGAACCCACCATGCCACATCCATGCACAGAGGAGGATTTGAATCCACAGACCCTGCAGCTTTAGGCTGCCACCATAACCACTGTGGTATGGACGCCAACAATTTGATAATTTATGAGTTATACAGTGAAACTCTTTTTTTCACTTCGCAAGGGGCCTATGAAAAAAGTGCAAAATGCAGGAAAGTTAAAAAACAACAGGCCAGTTGAGTATTTGCATTATTTACTGCAAAGGTGGCTCTGTTTTTACTTTCTCACCCTTATTAAACACGAAGAGAGAGTTTTATAATTGTGTGCCAAAAAAGGGTGAATTTTCATCAAAACTCTTATTGTCGAGCACTGGTAATGAACAATCGGATAAATCATGTTCCTGGACGTTATAAATTACCACCTCTAACATGTGGTGTAGCCTGAATTCGTGTTTTGTGGGTCCTTGATACCAAAAAATCGATTGACGGCAGAACATGTTTCCCCCCTCTATGGTCAATGTTAGCGCCAAAACCGTTGATCTAATTTTGTCCAAAATTGATATTCTCCAATTGATCTGAACGAGCATGACACTGCAAATTTGCTACATACATATGTAGCATATAATATTAATTTACTATGTATTGGAGGAGGATTTATCTACTTTTTCTGTATCAGTATGAGTTTTTCTGTTGAAAAATTCCTGCTTTGTTGTCACAGCATTACATACCTTTCTCTGAACTACATATATATCTCCATCTAATAAATAAGTTTACGAGAAAGTAAAAAATAGACAAAAAAAATGAAGGAAGCAGAAAGAAAATGCATTGTAAATATAGGCTTTAAGACAGGACAAATGAAAAATTACATAAAAGGAAGGAAAATGTAAAAGACAGAAACATAAAAATGGGGTTTTACTATATTAAAAATATAATTGTAATCACTTTCATCAGTGACTTGGTGTTTCTCTTGTCTAGCAAAAAGTCAATAATTCAAGACTTTTAATTTTAACAATTTGTAAAATTGTTAGAAACAACACAAAGTTGAATAATTTTTGTGAGTGAGTGAGTTTTTATTATTTCTGGGAGTATTGACTATTTTGGTCATAAGTCCCATGAGTGTAATGAATGTTGTATCCTGGAAGTGGCGGTGTTCTGCCCGTGCTAGAATGTGAAAATAGGTGCCAAGCTACACTTTTTTCCCCTTCCAGTAGATATCTGCTTCAGTGAAGCACCATTCCATCTGTTTGTGGGCTCGTGCAAATGTGTGTGTGTGTGTAGGAGAAGAGATAAAGGGAAAAGGATAAGGGAGGGAAAATGACACAAGGTTCACAACCTATTTGTTAGTTGTGCTTGGGCATTCACCAGGTATTGAAAGCAGAAACCATGGAAAACTACTGATCAGACCAATTGGTTACTAAGATTCAGGCAGTGGCTGAAATCAACCTAGCTATACAGTTAGTATCAAAACTGTACCATCGTTGGGGCTTGGACAGTAGGACCTCCTAGTCATAGGCTCTACAGCGGTAACAGATGCAACTGAGACATGTCTAATTTACTTTAAAATTTCTTAAGTTTTATCATGGAAAAATTCACATCCACAATATATGAATGTTAAATGCATTTCATTTTGATGACTAGACAATGAATTCAGTATCAAATGAGGTTTGAAAGCAAGGACTTATGGGCATGGGGAGGTAAAGGACTTATGGACATACTAGAAGGGTGTACCATCTCATTTAATGAATCTTGATCAAGTTCCCTGTATATTGAGCATTTTGTTTTGTTTATGAGTTCTTTATTCATTATTTATCTCTTTGTAATTTTCCAATGAACAGATTATATCAAGCCGATTTGATATTTTCTACCTTTGTTATAGAATTTTTTAATATATTAGGCATGATGATTTGTGTCAGCTATCAGAGTTATTTATATGTAAACGGAAAATGATTTACAAATACTAATCACATGAAACCATTAATCAGTTCACTTTCAACTTCTCTTTTGACTTGTGGCCATAAATTCTTGATAAATTTCTGTTTGCAATAATATGAATACTTTATCATTATATTAATAGAATGCTTCTGTAGAGTTGCAGATGTTGCTGTATTGGATGCAGGTGATGTTTACACTGCTGGTTTGCGGTACCAGCTTGTGCCTATTATTTCTGAAGTGTACAACCTAGGACAGCCTGAGTACTATGTTGTGGCTGTGGCTAAAGAGGATGATCCTACCACAGAGCTTACTTTTTTGAAAGGTAAGTGGATGGTTTATTTATTTATTAATTTATTTATTTTATAGGCAGCAGGATAACTGATTATGATTCAATCGGTATAAATATCAAATGTCATATTTTATTAAATGAAGATACATTTTTAAGGGGACTGAAGGGGGGAAAATGTATAAGTGAGAAAAATGCATAACTGAAATCGAATATTATGACCAAAATAAAAACTCAATATTTTAATACTGCCATTTTGTTAGAAAAGATATCCCCCCCCCAATGAATTCAGTATGCAGTTTAAAAAATTACTAATGGAAAAAGTCTATTATCTTAGTGTGTTTAATATTACAATTATAGGGTGTAGTAATGCATGAAACATGTTTCATGATTATGTGTTAGTCTTAAAATCTTTATAAATTTATCTCTGAAGTCTTAAAATGAACTATAGATTTATTTATTATGTTTCTATTTAAAATGCTTTTAAATTGCATTGTGTGATTGAAATTTTTAAAAATGTAAAAAAATATAGATTTTTTTGAAAATTAAATTTATCTACGGTCTCCAGTTCCCTTTCCACAGCAACTCTGAAATACTTTTAAATTCAAATTAAAACTCTTTAGTGTGTTGGCCACATTGCTCTTGTGTCTAGTGCATTACAATGAAGTAACAGGTATGTTGTATATAGGCAGTTATTGTTTTGATGTGATAAGTGATGGATTTTAATTGTTAATGAAGTTTACATAAAAGACCTGTGTACCTTTGTTCCAAGAATGTATTTGTATCCTGATATGATATAATTGACTATGTGGCGTGATGATGAGGTCAAATATACTTTGAAATGTTGTGTAACAATTGCTTTCAAGAGTGTAAATAAATGAAAATGTTTTCTATATGAGACGTATGAAATGTGGTGTCTATAACTTAAGACTGAAGCAGTCCAACCTGACAAAATAGATTAATTATCGAAATGGGTATTGAATGATGACTGAATCCAGGGCATTATTAAAATCAGTGTAAACACAGTCAACCCTAACTTTATTATCCATAGCTTCAAGAATATAATGAATATAGTTTTCCAGATTAAAGATAAATAAAGCAGTACAAAGCCTTTATTAGAAATCTAGGGTAAAAGTACAGCTAGGATAGGTAAGGAACTCTACATCAATATTAATGAGCAATGGCTCTTCAACATCTATATTAACCATTAATAAGGAATTGGTAGAATGAGATTAACCAGGGAATTTTAATCAAATGAGATAGAAAGACACAACACTGTACACATATGGCCAAGTAATAGTAGGTAGAAGTAGTCTAAAGACAACTTACAGAGAGCAATTTTCGAACTATCAAAAGTTGCACAGAAATATTCCATGAGAATATCAATATGCAAAGAAAAGTACAAGGCAATGCAAGAAAGGAACAAAGAGGAGTTAAAATTGAAATAAGTGGTGAAATAGTAGAGCCAGTAGGATAATTCTGTAAAAATTATAATACCATAAATATCTAAAATATATCAATTCTCTAATTCTGTAGTTTTTGGACATAATTCTCTCACATGTTGATAAAAAAATTTCCTATTGTTCATCCTCCCCCTTTTTCAATTTTTTAACGTTTGTGTCTAACAAATCTACAATTTTTTGCCCTCTCAGGATATGAAATTTTTGCATTTAATAATTGAAATCTGTTTTGCAAGAAATCATTTAATCATTCCAAAAAAATTAAGTTTTGAAATGAGTAAATTGTGATTAACAGAGTTAAACGCCTTTCTAAAATCATTGTAAATAGTACAATTTTCTTTTAAGTGAATCAAGAATACTGGCTACACAAAATCAAGTTACTTTCGATATTTCATCCTTGCATAAACTCACATATCACAGAAGAAAAAATAACAATTTTAACTAGGATGAGAATATGTGGAATATTGTGTTCTAATGTATAGTGACAGGGACATGAAGTCTTCATGTAAATTGCATTAACTTGCAGGAAAGCGCACATGTCATCCTGGTATCAATACAGCTGCTGGCTGGATTATTCCTTTGGCATACCTCATTTCCAATGGCTGGATTCGAAGCTATGGCTGCAATTCAGTGAGAGCTGCAGCGGAATATTTCACTAAGTCGTGTGTGCCAGGTGCTATTAGCACTGAATACAACACAGGACTCCCATATGATAATTTGTGTGACCTATGTCATGGAGCCAGTTTTCGATACTGCCGCAGAGATGCATCAGAGGACTATTATGGATATACAGGTATGATAAATCATAAAAAAATGTATTTCTTTGTGATTCTTAGATTGCCTCTGGTTAGATTAATAGCAAGCACATCAATCTTGTGGGGTATTTTTTAATCCCTGGCAAAGGATCTGCAGTTATGGTTTCAGTGAATCTCATTTTCTAATTGAAATCATATAAGATTTTAATTTGAAATCTTGAAGTGATTTGGCAGTGAAGAAATTCAGAAATTAAATATACATACTGCATACCCACACACGTCACTCCAACCCCACACTTCAACCCCACGCTTCAACTCCACACTTCAACTCCACACTCCACACTTGCATCCTACACTCGCTCCCCCTAATCAACACTGGCACCCCACCCC